CATATAAGTTGAAGCCCACATGAGCAACAAATTGTTGAAAAGACAAGGTGGTAATATTAAAATGCAATATAAATGGTTGTGTTCTTTTTTTCTCCTCTTTTATAGTATATTGTTTAGCAATCAATTATTAATATATGATAGTTTGCAGCTCTACCATTTTTATAGTTCAATTTTCTTTACTGATGTGACTATGCTTGCCTGAGTCGAGGGTCTTTTGGAAACAACCTCTCTACCTGCACAAGGTAGGGGTAATATCTGCGTACAAACTACCCTCCCCAGTTATGTTGTTGTTGTTGTTAGAACATTCTGAGAGAATTAGGTTTCAAACCCCTCTAAGCCGAAGCACTTTGATTCGGGTCATTTTGTGCACCGTAGGGTATGGCTTAGTGGTCGATGAAGTGAGAGGAGAACCATGAGGTCCCAGGTTCAAATCTTAGAGGAGGCAAAATATACAAGGTAATTTCTACTTATCTACCTAAGCCTTGTTGGGTAGTTTTACCGAATACCTGTGCTGGTGGGAGGTATTACGTAGCCAGTGGAATTGTCAAGGTGTCTGCAAGTTAGATCCGATCACTACTGTCTTTTTGTTTGTCAGGGTACCAGGTTTGAACTCTTGACCTAGTGGCATAACTAGAATTCTCTCAGCCATTATGAGCAAGAATGGCCGGAACTCGAACACCACTGTCATACAAAAAAAACACCAACCACTATTCTTAAGGAACTGTTCTGATTTTTTCTCTCTCCAAAACAGATGGAGAAAGAGCTGCTCTTGAAGGGGATAGAGAAGATAGGATCAGGGGTTTACCAAGAAATGTTACAGATCTTATCCTTGAGCTTTTACCGGCTCAAGATGCTGCAAGAACTAGTATTTTGTCGAGGAACTGGAGATATATTTGGGCTACTCTTCCAAATCTGGTGCTGGATTACGACTTCTGTCGTAAGTTAATAGAAGAGTCCGAATCCATGTTCAAACTAGCAGTGGATGAGATCCTGCTACTGCATATGGGGAACATTGTAAAGTTCATTCTTGACACTAGAGGAGCACATTTTTCTTCGTGTGCAGATATCGATAAATGGGTGCTTTATGTCACCAGAAATGGTGTCAAGAAGCTAACCCTTCGCATTTCAAATCTCAATACCTATACTCTGCCCCCTTCTATTTTTAAATGTTCAACATTGACAGACTTGGAACTCACCAACTGTGTCTTCAAACCACCCAGTTCTTTTCTTGGTTTTCCGAATCTTATCTCCCTTGATCTGCAACGTACAACCTTTGTGCCAACCACATCGTTTTGCGTTATCAAAGCCCCCCTTCTTGAGGACTTGTCCTTGAACATGTGTCACGGTTCTCAATACCTAAACATTATTTCACCAGGGTTGAAATCCTTATATGTTCGAGATAGTTACTACCATCTCGTGCTAAATTGTTTCATGAACTGCAAGGATTTGAGAGTCTTCAAACTTGACTTTTACAAAGTGGCTGATGAAAAATCAACTTTGGAGAAGCTTCTTATTAGTTTGCCTGCACTTGAGGTACTCCATTTGGATTCGTATTTCCTTGAGGTAAGAAACTCATTACCTGTTGTTTCAGTTGAATATTTGCTTATAGTGATTGTAAATTCATGTGATTCTGATTAATATTTGCTTCATAGCTTTTGAGTGCAGATGTAGTTCCAAATGGGCTTCCTTTTACGCTCAACTTTTTGAGGCATCTGTCGCTATGTGTAGCCTTTGACCATCTGGGTCAGACTTCTTATGCTCTACAGTTAATTAAGAATTCCCCTAATTTGAGAAAACTTGTGATTTGGGTAAGTAATGGAAAATTATGCAGTCTTGCACTTGATATGTGTATGATCTGGTTTATTTTTGCACTTCATATTTGTGAACATGAAAGTCTAAAATAACTGGTATTTCTTTATACCATTATAAGGTTGATGCTACCGACGATGATGCCAAAGCAGTTCTGAAGTATCTGGACTCACCGTCGTGCTTAGAACGACCACTCAACAAGCTCGAGCATGTATCCATTAATATTTATGAGAGTGCAAAAGCTGAGCTGTGTTTTGTAAAGCAATTGCTTTCTCGCACTCCCTCTCTGCTAAGGATGCGCATTAGTCAGAAGACAGACATAGACGTTGATATCGCCTTAGAGTTGATGCGTTTTCCCAGAGCTTCTCCCAGGGCAGAGCTCTCCTATTTTCCATATCAGGATTAGGATTTTAACTCTAAGGAAGGGATGAATGGCAAATTTTGTAAAGATGTGGCGACAATTATGTTCTTTTGAAAGACCAGTATGTGTCAATGTGTTTGATATGATTCATAGTCTTTTGGTATATTGTTTAATCCTCTACTTCTGGTTAAAGTTTCCTGGCTATTGAGAAATTGTTTATTTGATGGCTTAGCAGCATGTGTTATTTTGTTAACAACGTTAGATACTCACTTCATTACCTTAAGATCCTTGAGTTTCTCACAGAGAAGGCAGGAGTTGTTAAGTATTCTTTTCTTCTTTTTGTCAATGTATTCAGATAGTTTATTATGTCAAGCCATTTAAATTTCGAGAACACAATGACCTATATATATATATAT